GGTGAAAACTGTAATTCAGTCTCTCATTCTAGTGCTTTTTACTACTCTTAACTACTGTTGGAATTAAGAATCAGTATAAATCCATATTTAACAACCAAACAATAAAATACATTTGTTTCATATTCTAATCAGTTAAGGAAGAAGAAAGACAAAGAGTGTAAAAAAGAAAAGGAAAGAGAGGAAGACACAGTCCCCAGGTTTTTTCAACTATACCTTTGTTCCCATTCCTACCAAAACCAGCTCCTAAGTTCCAATTCTTCGCCAGAACACTTACTTTAATTCCTGGCATGTAGTGAGTGCTCAGTAAACATTAGTTCTTGTCCCAGTCACCTTCCTTACAGCCAAGATCATCTGCTCACCTGACCTCAGATTTCACATCTACTCCCTGAGACTGACCTTCCCTCTAGGACTTCACCCTGAGACAGGCTGAAAAACATCTGTACTATCACCAGTTTCCTCTCCCACTTTTAGAATTGGCTACAGGTCATTTATTTCTGGGGGTCCAAAAACCATGTCTCAAATAGTAGGGGTGAAGGTAGGGTGAGTGTCTAAAGAAACATTTATTTAGCATCTCTTGTGAATCAGACATGTTTCTTATATATGCCAAGCCTTCCTTCCAAGAGAAAGTCTCTCATTCAAAACCGTGGCTGTTTTAAGAACCAATTGTCATGAAATACTGGGTAGACTTAGATTTGAATCCTGGCTCTGACACTTCACTAGCTGTGTGATTTAGGGCAAACTGCTTAACCTCTCCAAGCCTCAAGTATCACTTTTAGAAAGTAGAGATCATCACATTCATGTCAAATTTGGGGGAAATGCAACCTGAGGAGAATTTGGCAATATAGAGTGGCCTCTGAAAAATGATACCCCGTGGAATTATCTTTTTCCATCCTTCACTTTCAGTTTATATGTGTCCTCACAAATTGAAGTGAGTCTCTTGTAGGAAGCACATAGTTGGTCTTATTTTTTTATCCATTCAGCTACTCTGTATCTTTTGATTGGAGAATTTAATCCATTTACATTGAAGGTAATTATTGATATGTAAGGACTTACTACTGCAATTTTATTAATTGTTTTCTGGTTGTTTTGTAGATCCTTTGTTCCTTTCTTACTCTCATGGTGTCTTCCTTTGTGATTAAATGATTTTCTTTAGTGTTATACTTTGATTTCTTCCTTTTTATCTTTTGTGTATCTACTATAGGTTTTTGCCTTGTGGTTACCATGAGGCTTACAAAAACATGTTATAACAGGCCATTTTAAGCTGATAATAACTTAACTTTGATCACATAAAAATCTTTACACTTTCACTACCTCCCCACATTTTACATTTTTGATGTCATAATTTACATTTTTATATTGTGTGTCCCTTAACAAATTATTATAGCTGTTACTATTCTCAATAGTTTTGTCTTTTAACCTTTAAACTACAGATACAGGTCATTTACACACCACCATTACATTATTAGAGTATTCCAAATTTGACTGTATACTTACTTTTACCAATGAGTTTTATATTTTGATATGTTTTCATGTTACTAATTAGCATTTTTTTCTTTCAGCTTGAAGAACTCCCTTTAACATTTCATGTAAAACAGATCTGGTGGTGAACTCCCTCATCTTTTATTTGACTGGGAAAGTCTTTATCGCTCCTTCATTCCTGGGTGCAATATTTTTGGTTGTCAGGGTTCTTTTGTCTTTCGGCATTTTGAATATATCATCCCACTCTCTCCTGGCCTGTAAGGCCTCTACTGAGAAGTCTGTTGCTAGCCTTATTGGAATTCCTTTATATGTTATTTGCTTCTTTTCTCTTACTGCTTTCAGGATCTTCTCTTTGTCCTTGATTTTTGACAGTTTGATTATGATATATCTTTGGGTAATCTTGTTTGGATAGAATGTGATTGGAGACATTTGCCCTCCCTATACCTGGATATTTATATCTTGTTCCAAATTCGGAAAAATTTCTGCTATTATTTCTTTAAATAAGCTTTTTAACTCTTTGTTTTCTCTTTTCCTTTATGAACCCCTATAACCAAAATATTTGCTCTTTTGATGCTGTCACATAAATTCCATAAGCTTTCTTCATTCTTTTTTTTTTTCTCCTATTACTGTATATTTCCAAATAGCGTATCTTTGAGTTCACAGATGCTTTCTTGTGCCTGATCAATTCTGCTGTTGATGCTCTCTATTGCATTTTTAATTTCTTTCATTATATTTTTAAACTCCAGAATTTGTTTGCTTTTTTAAAAATAATTTAATTCTCTGTTATATTTCTAATTTTGGTCATTTTTTGTTCTCTTGGTTTCATTGAATTGTTTCTCTGCTTTTTTTTGAAGTTCATTGAGATTCTTTAAAGCAATTATTTTGAATTCTTTGTCAGGCAGTTTGTATAGGAGTCAGCTACTGGGAAATTATTGTGTTCTTTTGGTGGTGTCATGTCTCCTTGGTTTTTCATGTTTCTCATTGCCTTACATTGATGTCTGCACATTTAAAGGAGTAGGGGCTTATTCCACTCTTCATAGACTGGCTTTGTCTGGAAAAGCCCTTCACTAGTCAGCCCATCCAGAAATTCTGGGCAATCCATCTGACATGGTCCTTGGGTGGGCTTGCTGCTGGAGTCCTTGGGAAGGCTGGCCTCATGCCTAGATCAGCAAGTGTGTGGGCCTGGTTCTTGTGTATTCAGGGTTGGGCCTGAAGCCTGAATCCACTGGAGTGGACCTATTGATTTGGTCTTGAGGGATGGGCCTGGAGCCTATATCCATGGTGTCCAGCCTGAAACCTGCATACACAGGGGCTGACTTGGGGCTGAAGTAAGCCTCGAGCCTAAGTCTGTAGGGGCTGGTAAAACACTGGATGGGCCTGGCATGTAGGTCCACTGGGGTGGGCCTGGATCCTGAGTCCTTGGAGTCTGTTCTCCAAGGATCCTGTGCACCAGGATCTACTAGGGTGGGCCTTGACCCTGGGTCTTTTGGGGTAGGCCTGGAGCCTGGGTCCTCTGGAACCTGGGGCCATAGGGACAGGCCTGGAGCCTGGGACTAGCCTGGCACTTGGGCCAGTGTGGATCCTGGATCCACAGGGTCTGGTCTGGAGCCTAGGATTATGGGTGCTGGTCCGGTATCTGGAGCCACTGGGGCTGGCCTGGAGCCTGGGTATGCTGGTGTCATCCTAGAGGCTGGGTATGCAGATGTGGTTTAGAATCTAGATCCATGAAGGCTAACCTGGGCCCTAGGGCCTCAGAGGCCAGCCAGGGACTTGGGTACACAAAGGTGGTCCTGGACTCTGAGTCCATGGGGTGGGTTCAACACTAGGGTCTACTGAGACAGGCCTGGATCCTAAGTCTGCTAGAGTGAGGACCTGCAGGGGCCATCCTGGAGGTTAGGGCTCTGTGAGATCCTGCCTGATGCTAGAGCAGGCTTGGAGGTTCACTGCATGGGTACTAGCCTGGAGACTGTATCTGCATGACTGGCCTGGAGGCTGAGTGCACAGGTGCTGGCTTTTATGACTAGTGCTGTAGGGGTTGGCCTGCTCCTGGGTCTGGCCTGAAGCCTATGGCCATGGTGGCCAGTCTGGCGCTGGAGGTAGTCCAGAGCTTGGGACTGTTGAAGTCGGCCTGTTGTTGGGGTGGCTTGGAGACTGAGTGAGCTGTGCAAGCCTGGAGCCTGGGGCCACAGGATCTGGCCTGGCACTGGGGCAGGCCTGGAGGCTCAGTCCGTGGGTACTGGCCTGGGGCCTGGGGTCTGGGGCTACTGGGGCCTATCCAGCACTGAGTATTACTGGAGTAGGCTAGTTTTGGGGTTGGAGGCAAAGTTCAGTGCTTGCTTTCCTCCCCTTCTCCCATGCAGAGGGTATTCATGTAGTATGTCATTGGCATCTCTCCATGAAAGTATATGTGGTACCAACTTATTCACTTAAATAGCCAAATAACAAGCAAAATTTTGATATTTTGTGATTCATACCCTATAGATAAACTAATTTGTTAGAATACATTGCAGCTATTAAGAACTTTAGGTAAAAGTGTAGACCTCAAATGTAAATGCAGAACGTTCTGGCATGTGTTATTTATTACAGTGAGAAACATTATAGCATACATTTTCAGATCTTACTATATGAATATTACATTATAACTTTGAGGCACTCGTGTGAGACTTGTTTGGCCAAATAAGTGTGCTAGTAGTTGTAAAATGATGGAGGATGTTTACCCACCGTAGGCAAAGATGGTTTATGGTTCCATGTGATTTTAGACAACATCTGGAGTGAGATAAGTGACAGCTCTTAAACAGTGCATTTCTTAGGACTGTCTGCTGTAAAACACAAAATATCAAGGCTGGATTTAAAGTCCAGCCTTTCATCACTGGTGCCCTAAATCATTCCATGAAGACCATGAAGTTACTGATGCCCCCATAATGATTCCTTTAGAATGGTATCGTCTATCTAGACTTACCATACTAAAGAAATAACTCTTGCCACTTGTGACATTAGAGACATACTTAGTATGTGCATATTAAGTTGCATACTTGAGGCCAGGCACGGTGGCTGATGCCTATAATCCTAGCACTCTGGGAGGCTGAGGCGGGAGGATCGCTCGAGGTCAGGAGTTTGAGACCAGCCTGAGCAAGAGCGAGACCCCATCTCTACTAAAAATAGAAAGAAATTAGCCAGACAACTAAAAATATATAGAGAAAAAATTAGCCAGGCATGGTGGTGCATGCCTGTAGTCCCAGCTACTTGGGAGGCTGAAGCAGGAGGATCACTTGAGCCCAGGAGTTTGAGGTTGCTGTGAGCTAGGCTGACACCACGGCACTCTAGCCCGGGCAACAGAGTGAGACTGTCTCAAAAAAAAATAAATAAATAAATAAATTGCGTACTTGAGAAAAAAACTATTACTACAGCCTCACAAGCACTCAAATCTTAAGTGGCATATGAAATAATGTATAGTTGAGGAATGAAAATGGTACCTCTAAATATTAATGTGATATATTATCTTCCATTTATTTTATTCATAGATGCCACTTGGAATGAACAGGAAAAGGCTGAAGAACTTTTTACAGAAAATTTTTGTCGAGTTTGTGGAGTATTCCTACAGTTTGAATCACAAAGGATTTCACATTATGAGGTAGGTTAAAAATAATTGGAGTAGGGTCTAAAGCAGGTTTTTGAATGTAGCAAGTAAACTTCATATAAGTCATCTGATTTTTATGAGAATCCTGTGGAATAGGTGATACTCTTTCTCTTTGACGGATGAGGAGACTGACTCAGGGAGGGACAGTCATGTACTACCTCAAGTTTGGGGAACTTGGATTTAAACTCAGACTATTTGACTCCAAAGCTTGTTTTCTTCACACCATTCTGCCTCCCTTTGTATGTCTCAAGCCACTATACCATTCGTCCTTGTAGTAAATACAAGGGAGGAATTATGAAGCTCACATAGGAAACTATTAATATGAATCAAGGGATATTATGTAGAACTTTCAGTCTTCCTTTATAGTAAATGAAGACTGTAAAAACAAAATGAACTTATCTTGCACTTGACTTAACCACATGTTTCTAGGCCCAGAACCATATAATTCTAGAGCTAAGAGACAGACTGTTTAATGTCCTTTCTCTCTTAGTTTATAAATTAGAAAACTGAGACCCAGAGAGCCAGTAATTCTCCACAGCTAGTCATTGGTATGACAAAGCCTAAAAATGATTCCTCCTGATTTCACTGGCATTGTCTCACATGTCAGCATCATCTGATGAGCTACTGGATTTCTTTCATTTCTGGAATCTGGGTTACCAAAAGTACTAGATACATATACTTCAAATAAATGTAATGCCGATTCTACTTTTTTAAACACTTCATCTAGTTTTGTCCACTGCTAACCTTATTGGCAATTGTATTTTAGTCCTTATGTTGATTGAAATTAAATCGCTATAATTACATGATGGATATATTTCACAGTTTAAAATTCTGTAGAGAGAATGATTGTCTCACATTACGTGCTCAGGAAATGTTAGTTTCCCTTCTCCCTATACCAATGTTTTTGTTATTCTTATATACTCGGTTATACATTTGTTCAGAGATTATTTCTAATTTGACTTAAACCTGAAGGGTTTATTTCCTTATGAAATAATTTGAGAGGTAAGTAGTACAGGGCTGATGTGACAGCTCCATGATATCATCAGGGATCTAGGTATTTTCTGTCTTTGTGCTCTGATGAACTGGCTTTCTTCTTCAAGGTTCCCCTTGGTCTGAGGTGACTATTGAACTCTATCCTTTGTATCTTAATTCCAAAAGCAGAAGGGAAGAAGTATAGAAAAAGGGCTTATCCCCCAGCCTTTTAAGGAGGCTTCCCAGAAGTTCCACATAAACACTTCAGATTACATGTTACAGGCCAAAATCCAGTCACATGGCTACATCTTGCTGAAAGTAAGGCTGGAAAATGTCTTTTAGCTGGGTACATTGCTCAAGATTTGTAACTAAGGAGGAAGACATGTGATATTCGGCAGCAACTAGAAGTTTCTGTCAGAAACAAGAATCTAAAGGTTATTGGCTTCTAAATTGTAGCATTATTTTTTTAATTGAAATTTAGAGATTTGAGAGCATGTGATGCTCTTTCATAAACTTGGTACAGACTAAATATATTAAAACACATGAGTACTGTCCTTAAATTCAGTGAGGTGTAAATTTTGGGTGACTCTGTTATTGAATAAACAAAGTCATATTATATCTTTTTTCAGAGTGAAAAACATGCTCAAAATGTTAGTTTTTATTTTCATATGCATGGAGAACAAAATGAAGTGCCTGGTAACAGAATGAAGACGCATGTTGGGAATTTTGAGGTGAGTGATCTATGTTGATGTCTTAATTCTAAACTTTGAGTTATCTAATCTTTCTAACAAGATTGTGCTTATTTCAGGTGCATAGGAACGAAGTAGTGGACAGAAATAAATTTTGTGATCTCTGCAACATGATTTTTAGCTCCCCAGTTGTTGCTCAGTCTCACTATACGGGGAAAGTCCATGCTAAAAAAGTGAAACAATTAATGGAAGAACGCGATAATGTATCTCCTTCAGGATTTCAGCCAGAGATGGGTAAGGTTCCACTCACATCTTTATGTTCAATACAGGATCTACCTATCATTTTTCCTAACTCTGCCATACATTTTTTGTTGGGGACACTTTTGCTCTGATTAAAATAACTTGGTTATTCTTTTTCTGCCCAGTTAATCTCTTTCTCTGTCTTTGTCATTTAATGGCAATTATACTTGCTAGCTGAATTTTTAGAAATGTTAGGACCTCTCCCTTTCAGTGATTTCCTCTGCTAGCTATAAAGAAACAATAATAAGCAGCTGGAACTCTATCAGTTTCTAATCAAATCATAAAATCTTAGCTCGTATTTACTTTTCTTTTTTTGCTTTAGTACTTTCCAAAACATTATCTCATATGTGTGTTCCAATCAGTGTCTTCACCGTAATATAGTTATGGATGCACTGCTTCCTGACTATTAACTGTAGGCAAAAATAAATAAATAAATAAATGAATATTACTGAATTTCCTTCTACTCTGACAGCCTATTCCTTTCTTCCTATGAATATGAAGAAAGAAGTACCACCAGCATCATCAATTAGTATTTACCAAATACTTATTTTAGCTTAAATCCTAAAGATACACAAAATTACAAAATATTGCCTCTTTCCTCCTTCCAGTGATTTTTGGGCCACCAGTGCATATGAGCAACCTGGCCCAAAGTTGCCTGAAATGGCACAGTACACCCTGGGGAATCCAAATCGTATTTTTAAAAACTTGTGTGATGGAATAAAAAAAAGGCTGGTTAATCCTCTGAAATACATAATTTACCATCTTCTTATTAGCTTCAACGCTTCAGGACTAAGGCATGCCTGGCATGGAAAATTCACTAACATTTATTTCCAACTTATAGTGTAGGCATCACCCAACGAAGTCAGTGACACAAAATAAATTACTAAAACTTATTGTTTTCTCAATAAATGAAACCAGAATTATTTTTTAAATTTACTCTAGTCTCTCTAATTTTTGTATGTTTGTTTTTCCGCCTGTCCTTCTAAAGAGGGGAAGAATCCGTGTGCTCTATAGTAGAAAGCATCTCGTAAAAGCCTTATCTTCAGTCTCCAAAAATTCATCAGTTTGGGCTCAGAGAGAAGAATAAATGAAAGAGCTATGAAATAACTAGAATTTTAGGAGCCTATATAATTTTGTAGTCTTAAATAATTGCATATATTTTATTCTGATGCAAACATCACAAATCTAGACTGAGTGGATGCCCTACTGTGTTACTCAAGAAAGTCACCAACTTAGAAGTTTCAAAGAATCATCCTAAGATGGCTCTCATGCTTTCCTTGATTCTTTAAATGAATGTAATTAGACAATATCTGATGCAGAACATTCCTTCCTTTCCATATCTTTATTGGAGAAACTTGGAGACAGATTCATATTCAAATTTCCATTCTCACAGAAGGAAATTCTTTTTGTCTTGAGTACCTTTATACAGCAGCCTTCTGCTAAAAAAGTCCAGAGAGTGGATTTTTAGAGAGTTCTGTATTTCCCTAATACTCTACAATAAGTGTAGCTCTAATATCCGAACACATGTTGATCACTTCTCATTATAACTATTTCAGCAGGTGTGCCTATTCCTACTTCTGCAGAGTCAACCTTCCCGAAGCCCCTTGCTGTCAAGCCTCCTCCAGGTGGGATTAAAGACAAGACTATGCCTTCTTCTTCCAGCAGTGCTTTGGATTTGAATAATCCAAACAAATATTGCAAGCTCTGTCTTGCTTCCTTTAATAGTCCAATAATGGCCCAACAACATTATGTTGGGAAAAAACACAAAAGAAATGAAGCTAGGAAGACGTTTGTAGACAAGATAAGAGAGAAACCTCTTCCAGCAAAATCAGATGCAAATGGTAAACAGTAAAATTATCCCAAAACGCTTTCATAGGAAGTTTGTATTTTATAAAACATACTAGCTGATTTATATATCATTTTACTCTTCTCGAGTGAGAAGTTGATAGTATTCATGGGAATCATAGAATTTTAGGTAAGTAAGGACTTTTGATTCCACCTAGCTTCATCTGTTTGTTTTCTACAAAATGAGATCCAAAATGGTTTAGATGACCCCTATTAATTTTATAATCAAATATAGCTATTCCTGTGGTTCCATGTGATCTTAGGAACATAAGGAAGTATTTTAAATTAGCATCATGTGAGAAAAAATTGGTATCATGTGGTTATTTCATTTACTAAGTATGGTTTAAATATCTCTTGGGATCTAAGCTACTTATTATTGGTAATACAAATGAGAATATACCATTTTTCCTGAAGGAGCAAGTGTGTAAACTAGTTGGGTTAATAAGACTTCATCGCAAGAGGCTACAGACTTGGATTTTTGTGTGCATATTTTTGGTAACTAGAGGAATGAAACATCATGGTCCAGAAAAATCTTCATAGATTTTGATTATTTCAATTGATAGAAATGGGAAGGAGAGAGGATGAACAAAAGGGATTGGATCTAAGAAAGAATGGCAGAATTCAGGCACAATAAAGAGAGTTATCCTGGCTGAAGTGATCCACTTGCTCTTCTAACCATATTTTTTTTTCATTTTTTCCCCCCACAGGCATCTTCTCACTACTAGTGTATTTTATTCCCCTTTCATATTCTCTCTTCCACTCCTTTTCCTTCACTCACTGTTATTTTTCAGTTCTTTCCCTACTAGATCTTTCTGCTTCGTGTGAAAATGCTATTACTCCCTTTTGGAAGCTGTATTGTTTGTCATATGTAACTCCTTATGCTCTCATTCTTCTCCCGTGTTTCTGTTTCTTTTTTGTTTTCTTTATGGGATCTATTTTTATTCATTACCTAGACCTAGGTATTCCCATGGTTCCATTCTTGACCTTACTCTATAAACATGATTTAATCTCTTCCCCTGGTTTCATCTCTCACGTGTATGCTTATGACCTTTCTGTCAAGTCTTAGACTCACATATCCAAATGGCAGCTACTGCTTCACCTGGATGCCTCATAGCCATTTCGGGTCCACTAAATTGTTCAAAGTAGAAACCTGCAGTTAACTGTGAACCCCCCAACACCACCTCCTTCACTTTCTATATCTAATGAATCACCAAGCTTCACCTCCTGAATATTGCTGTACCCTCTCTCCAGCCCTGCTTTTCCCACATTTGTTTAGGTCCTCAACATCTTTCCTAGAGGTTTACTACTCAAAGTGCCGGTTGTGGATCAGCACCATTGGCATCACGTGGGAGCTTGTTAGAAAAAAGAATCTCAGGCCCCACTCACTGCAGACATACAGAATCAGAATCTGCATTTTAACAAGATCCCTAGGTGATTTGTACCCAATAAATTTTGAGATGTGTTATCCTAGAGTATTGCTACAATCTCCTACCTACTCTCCCTGCCTCCAGTTTTATCTCCCCAAATTCACCCTCAATTTAACCACTAGAGTGTTTTCACTTGAAATATAAATATTTCCATGTCATTACCCTTCTTTAAGACCCTTCATTGTTTCACCCTTCATTGTTATCTTTGAAGGATAAATCTAAGCTCCATAGCTCTCTACCATCTTGTTTCTGCCTGCCTTCTCCAGGCTTATCCCCTGGAACTTCCTGCCATGATCTATGTGGGTCAGTACCTGCAAATTGCTTATGGTTTCCAGAAACCATTACCCTGTTTTTTGTGTCTATCCCCTTGTTCATGCTACCACTTTGCCTGGAATATCCCCATAACTCTCTTCTCCTGACTAACTTCTACTCATTTTTTAACATACTGCTGCTGCCTGGAAGCCTTTTCATTTCCTTCAAGGCTAATCTTCTGTGATTCCTTAACCTGCATATCTAATTATCTCTCTACGTGTCTTTCTCCCATTAGAGTGTAAGGTCTTTGAGGGAAGGGACTTCATCTAACTCATCTATATTTCCAGTGCTAGAGATAGAAACTGGCACAGAAGTAGGCCCACCTTAATAGAGATTAGTTTAATATATGAATCAGTGAACTATTAATTAAGCTTTATTTATTGAGTGCTTACCCCATTTTTGTACTATTTCATTTTCCTATTTAATGTGATCCAACATATATCCCAAAAAGTTACATAGAGATAAGTATTTTTATTTGGGATTTTAAAGAATGTTGATTTCGGCAAGTGTAGAAATAGAAGTGATAGGGCTTCTGAAAGTAGGAGTAGATGTTTGGTGAAATGACAGATTTCCACTCGTTAGGGCATATTTCCTATTGCTGCGCTGAGGGTATCTGAAATAAGTAGCTTCTAGTTTAGTGGCATTAGGTAAATTTGAACTGAGTCAGCTATGAGAAGCACTCTTGTCACTTCTAAAGGGGGAGGGTAATTTTGGCACTCCAGAGTTTCAAGGTTATTAGAATGAGGGAAGAAAGATTTTGGAGAAATTTTAATCTGATGATGGAGGAGGGGGATGGTCATCAGCATCATTTAATACAGTCATTGAAACCATTCTATGTTAGCCTCTGAAGCTAGAGCTCAAAGAACAAATTTTCAACCCTGCCTTGACTATTTCATTTCAAGAGCAGTAAGTATTTGAGTATTAAAAAACAGCTGGAGGCCAGGCGCGGTGGCTCACGCCTGTAATCCTAGCACTCTGGGAGGCCGAGACGGGCAGATAGTTTGAGCTCAGGAGTTCAAGACCAGCCTGAGCAAGAGCGAGACCCTGTCTCTACTAAAAAAATAGAAAGAAATTAGCTGGACAACTAAAAATATATAGAAAAATTAGCTGGGCATGGTGGCACATTCCTGTAGTCCCAGCTACTTGGGAGGCTAAGGCAGTAGGATCACTTGAGCCCAGGAGTTTGAGGTTGCTGTGAGCTGATGCCATGGCACTCTAGCCAGGGCAACAGAGTGACACTCTGTCTCAGAGAAAAAAAAAACAGCTGGAGAATTTAAATTCGTTAATGAGAATTTGAAAGAACAGTAACAGCAGAAGCCCATATTACATGTTAGCAAGTGGTAACAAAACAATTTAACATATACCACCTTAACTATTTCACTCTTCCCTCATTTTCTTCTTTCTGTCTCT